GTGTGATGAACATGTCTTTCAACAAAAAACTGTGGATTCCTCCTTTCACCACGTCGCCTTCTAACCCTGGCACGACCATCGTGCATGCCTAAGCAGAATCGAGACTCGTCACTAAAGACAATACTGTTCCATTCCTGATCCCAGAGTGACCGTTGTCTGCACCACTCAAGGCGATTACGTCGGTGTTCTGGAGTTAAAGGGAGGACCCAGTGTGGCCGGTATGAAAACAAGCCAAAACTTCTCATTCGTCGGTAAACACTTCGCATGCCAATAGGTCTTCCGTGTTCTGCAAACCATTCATTTGCAATGGGCCTGGTAGTGGAGAAACGGTCCCTTAAGGCCAATAACCTTAGGCGGCGATCTTCACGGTCTGTTGTTCTACGGCGGCGTCCAGTGCCCCTAGCTCTTTGCGTACGGCCTTCTCGAAGCCATGTCTGACAACACCTAACCACAGTGTCTACACTTCTTTGCACTCTAACTGCAATTGCCCGAAAAGAAAGTCCAGTTTCCCGAAGTCCCACTATACGGCCTCTATCAAACTCACTAAGTTGACGAAATCGTACAGGTCTCCGTACTCTAGGCATCGTAACCGATCGTAAAGGATGTCAAGAACCAAAATCCGCCAACGTTGATTCTTTACTGCGGCTGAAATATTCATTTTTAGAGCGTTAGTGAAGTAAAAAAAAGCAGTATAAAAACCGGAATGTCCAACTGATAGGCTGAAAATTTTTTCACTTGTTATTTACAGTAAGATAAATACATTCACCAACTTTTATTAAAATAAAACCATTTAAACTGGGTGTTCGGATTTATATGTCACTTAGTATATTTCTTATGCCACAGTACTCTAGTATACGAGACCCCTTCCCACTTCAGTTGGCCCACTTCAAGATTTGTACCAAAATATGCATTTATAAACTAAACATGACGAAACTATGTACTACCTAAAACTAAAACAATTTATTTTCTCAAAAACATTTTAGATACACTTTAGTCGTAAAAAATACATATTTGGAATCACTTAGACCTATAACTAATAGAACATCTGAACAAATAAACAATGTGCGAATAAATGCGCAAACTTAACAAAGCAACAATTGAAAGATTACCATTGGGTAACATCACCTTTATTTTTTATTACAGCTGAAATTCTTTGGGGCATAGTGTTAACCAAGTTTTGGGAAAAATTTGGTGTAAAACATTCCATATTTCTTGAAGCTTTTGTCTCAGTTCGGTGATTGTACGTACGAGCAGGATGTTGTCGTAGAACGTTTTTCATCTCGTGCCACAAAGCTTCAATAGGTGACAGATCTGGACCGCTAGAAACCCATTTCAAAAGTGGTACATTATTTTCGTCCATCCATTTTATAGCCTTTTTTGAGGTATGGTACGCTGCACCATCTTGCTGAAACACAAAATCTTGGCCGGATGTCAAACATTCTTCCATCACTGGTAAAAGCGATTCTTCTAAAATTGCCAAACATTTGTTTGTATCCACATTTCCATCAATAAAATGAAGTTTTCCTACTCCTTTTGATGACGTACTGCCCCAGACCATAATGGATGCTGGAAATTTCACTTTTCTCTTCAGACATTCAACATGGAATGCTTCATTTTTTTTACGAATAACTCTACTGCGACTGTCACCAACACAAACTTCGAATCGGGCCTCAGCACTCCATTGTATTGCACACCATTGTTGAGGTGTCCATTGTCTATGTCCTTTAGCCCATTTAAGCCGATTTTTTTTGCAGTGGAGTTAATAGTGGCTTTTCTTTGGCCTATAAACAAGTTGTGCAACTTTAGGGTTTTTTACTTCACTTTTTTTTATAAGAAAACTTGCAAGTGCTAAATCCCAGTTTGTGGGCCTCTCTGAGTTGTGGACCTCGAAATTCTCCTTCCAACAGCGTCACTCCACAGAGCACTTAATTGTAAACAATTGGCACGCCTGTCTTTCACGATTATTCTTCTTAATGCTCGTCGGTCGGCATTTGTGATATTACTTTTTTTCACATATCGTGGCTTAATATTAACTGAACCAGTTACGTTATATCTTCTAATAATATTTCTCACACTGTACCACGATAAGTCTAACAAAGTTGCAATTTCTGAGTTTGATTTCCCAGAAGTAAAAAATTTAATTATCAGTAACCGAATTTTCTCACTAATAACCTTTCCTCTACCCATTTTGAAAACCTTAACTACCCACAACTATTTTAAACGTATTCTGACAGCTGTGATTAATAAAAACAATTGTCATGGCTTTTATTTTTCACAGCCACCTATGAGTTATAGACTTATTTTGCATTAAAATGAAAATAGGTTTATCAACCTGCTGTAATTGCAACATGTGTTATTTTTATGCTGCAAATTTGATTAGGGAGTGTTAAAGTTGGTTCTACTATATATTATCAAAATATTCATTGTTAATATTTTTAACCTATAACACCTTGCTACATTTTTATTATTTGTGTTTGATAAGAAAAAAACTAAGATTTCAATAGTTGGGCCAACTGAAGTGGGAAGGGGCTCGTACATTAAATGATACAATCAAATGCTTTCGTGAAAGTGCACATAGTAGCAATCATATTAATGTGATACTCTAATAAATAATAATAATCCAATACTTCCTCTAATAACCTGGGTAGTGCTATGTTGTGGTAGTGAAAGGGAAGGGTAGATTTACCTTTCCAGTATTTTTGTTTTCATAATCATCTCAAAGATTTTCCCAAAATTGAGTATATGTAATTGCATTAAGATTATGCAAGAATAACTGATCAGAATATTTTTCCGAACACAGGCGAAGATACTTCGTGGACTAAGAATTGTCATTTTGTAATGAACATATTTTGTAAGCTACATACTCTGCCAAAAAAAAGTCTTAAAAAATACAGTAGATTGACTGAAAATATATTTGTAGATATATAAAAAAGTTAAGGCAACATTCGCCAAAGGATCGCAGAACGCTAAAGTGGTACGTACTAATGCTATAATGTCTTTAACTAACACTAAAGACGTTATATTTACAACCCCCAGCTCACAAGTTTTGACCGTTTCAAAAAATTTTCCGAAAATGATCAGGAGCATCTGAAACGTCACAAAATCAAGTTTTGCGATTTTTATATTTTTGAGACCGGTTTTCAAAAACTACAAAGCCTTTTCATTCCTGGCTTAGTAGTAACCTTGTGCGAAAATTTCAGCAAAATCAAAGCGGTACTTCTCAAGTTATAGACAGTTATAAAATTAGCGGACAGACCGAAGGACATGAGTGATATGGTTTGTCGTGATGTACATGCCATATAACATCCGAATAAAACATAATATATATCAATTTCGAAATGTTTCGCGATTAAAATACTTCCTGTCAGTTTTGCCATAAGAAGTAAAACGTGTTCGATGTTAACCCTGGAGCGCTTAGGCGAATAGCACGGCTATAGTTGCTTAGGCGGGGTTACCAATAACCCCAGTGATATATTCCTATTTAATGAACAAAATATAAAAGATAGACACTTTTGTTTCAATAATAAAACATTTATTTCAAACACTCGGTACATATTTCAGCTCGATGATTACTGCAAACAGCCTTGAAACATTTCGCACAGGCAGTTTTTCTTTTTCGGTCATTTGTTCTTGGACATAAAATGCCGCGAGTCTGTTTTAGCAATTTTGCTGGAGGTGGATCAACTTTTTCTTCTGTTTTCATATCTAGAATATTCATTATTGATTCCTTCAATTTTCGAGGTATTGGTTTTGTCAAACATCATTCCATATGAGGCCTGACCAGTTGTAGTCCAAGTTCAAATAGGTATTTTCGACGAACACTTTTTTGTCTATCACGCTTAACAATTTGGAGAATAATGTTGGAGTTAATGCCTGCTTGATCCATTATACCATAAAAAAAGCGTAATGGCCACCTGCGTGTTTTGCGGGATACCGAATATGAGTGCACCATCTGGTCAAAGGTATCGACACCTCCTTTGGTAGAATTGTAAAAATTTATTATTTCGGGTTTTTTATTTTCATCTATTGTACTACCAGAATGCATTGTCGATAAAAGTAGCAGAGATTTAGACTTCTTGGGTGTGAAGGACACCAAGGTTTTTTGGTTGTCGAATCCCAATTGAGAAGACATAATTTCTTTTCGTTTGTTTGGGAGAAATGATGGAGGAATTTCCTTCTTGTTTTTTCTGAGAGTACCCACAATGGTCAAATTGTAGTCAACAAGCATTTTGTCAGCCAATGGGATGGAAGTAAACCAATTGTCCATCGTCAAATTGCGTCCGGTTCCGTGAATGGGTTCTGTCAGTTTTCTTACGTAATAAGCTGGGAGAGGTTCTTTATCTGGCCTATTTTCTTTGCCGATATATGGAATAGCAGTAACCATATAATATGTGCGTGAATCACACATCGTTACAACTTTGATTCCATATTTGTCAGGTTTTGATGAAATATATACTCTAAAAGGGCAATTGCCTCGAAATCCCAATAACTGTTCGTCGATGCTACAATAACTGTGAGGAGTATAGTAAGTATTTTGTACAGTTAGATATAAACATTTCCCATATATTACCTACTGGAGAAAATTTATCTTCTCGGTCTCTCATGGTTTTGTCGTCAAATCTGAGGCAAGACATCAAAAATCTAAACCTTGTTTCACTCATTACGCATCGATACACTGCTGGTCCATGCTTTGACCACATTTCTGCTGTAGTTAGATGATTGTCTTTTCTACAACCTGTCATATAAAGCAGTCCTATCAAAGCCAAGATCTCTTCAACGTCTGTCTCGTTAACAAAGCCACAATTAGCAACATATTTCCCTCTTTGTCGTTCTATTTCCATATTTGTATGCACCTCTATAATATTTATAACATTCGCGCTAAAAAATAACTTCCATGCCTCTAATTCCGTTGAAATATTTTTGGCCGCACCTTTTGGTCCTGGAATACATGAAACAATGTTTCGCTTAGGTGTTCGAGTACGACATGGAAGCTCAGTGCTTCAAATATGTCCATTTTTTCCTTTTATTACTTTGCCAGGAAGTTGTTGTTCTGTCTCACTCTCTACTTCACTATCATCCGTTGAGTAGGTGCTCTCCCTGTCGGACCGAATTGAAACATGGTCGTCATAGTCAGTGCCGTCATTATCTGAATCAGGTTCATTGTCGAGTTCTTCATTCCATCGTAACAGAGTTTCTTCAAATTTGGGATCATCTGGTCGGACAGCTACCTAAATAAATTACGTAATCTAGTGTGTGGAATAAAATAAAAATACCAGTTTAAGCTTACCTGGGGTTACTCGTCACCCCAAACACAAAATATCATATAAACTATCGCACTGAACAAAAATGTGCGACCAACAACACACACACTTTAACCTCAAATGAACATAGCGGGATCTCCGATGTTGCCAATTTATGCACAAAAAATTAGTGAACATTTGAATTTTCTTTGGGGTGATGCGAAACCCCACTAAGCATTACAGGGTTAATTTAATCTTCTGTGATAGGTTCAAGATTGGTTCAACATTCCTAAGCTGGTTCAGACAAAAACGCTTTCAAATACACGTAGGTGCTACCTGTTGAAAAAAATTGTCCCAAAGGCTTCCCGACCAATGGTCGATCTGAAAAGAAACGTCCTGGCAATTTATTGGCTTCGCACTAAAATTAGCATTTAACTATCCCACCAAAAGCGTGTTTATGTCAAGATTTAACGGGCCATTCATTGGCACTTTTATTACGTGAAAGCGTATCCACAGCCACATTTGCTGGCGACCAGACTCTCCTTTAAAAGTTTCTTGCTCTGCAAGACATGTCTGCAATATCAGAGGCGTCGTTAACACAGGTACAGAAGCCGAGAAAATTAAATAAAATTTCTTCATATCAGTAAATTGCAAAGTATCAGAGATCATAAGGGAGCTTATTAGGCCCGTATCGTCAGTCGTCCCTACAATTGTAGGGCGCGTTTATGGCCTCCTTGATTGTCATACTCCTTTCTCTCCTTCAAAAATTTCTAGATTACACTTGTCCCGTATCAGCGTCAGCGCTCTCCTATTGTGAAGATATGTTTTCTTTTTAAATTGTAGGAAATTTCAGGCTGATAAAACATGATATAAGTCAAAAGCAAGCACAATTTGATGCAAATAGATGTTTGTTACATAACCTCAAAATAGAGCGCTGACACGGAGAAGTAGAAAACTATGACAATCAAGCAGGCCATAAAGGAGCCCTACAATTGTAGGGACGACTGACGATACGGGCCTAAGGCCCGGAAATAACTCAAATTTTATGTTGCTCGTACCTATGAAATTTTTGCATTCAAATATACTAACTGACATTAGAAGTGTTAAACCTAGAAAAAATAATTTCTTCAACTTGTTTTTTTGGCAATGAGGCAGTCTTACATCAAGAATGAAACGATAACATTTTCTGAAAATTTTATTGACAAGTAATAAGAAAAAAAATTAATAATATGTTGGCGACCCCGCAGCTGAATACACTCCTGAATAGGGGGCCTTTCAAGTATTACGTAAGCAGATTTATTACAATTATTTACCTCCCCATCCCCCCTGTCAGCAAAAGTAAGCAAAGCTCTTACCCCCTCCCCCCATGCTTACGTAAACATTTGTAAATTTATGTATTATTTTTTTTTAATATTATAATTATAACGTCGTAATTATAATTTGAAAAATAAGAAAATAGATTTAGGATAGAGATTATATTTTACTTATACGGTATTCGAAATAGAGTAAAGGACAAAAATATTATATCTTTCTAACATAACAAACTTATTTTAAATTTTTGGTACATATATTAAATTCAAATTAACAGTCTTCAGTCCATGAAACCCGAATCCATGATTCTAAGTTTTCGATGACATTGGATTGCTTCGATTGCTGCTCAGTGTTGTGAGCAGCATTCTGAATTTCTACATTTTACAATTTGAAGCAAGTATTGTCTCTCACGCACATGTTCTGAATACCATTTAATGTCTGGAAAATCAGAAAGATCTTGTTCACCTGCCCCAATATATTTTGCATTAACATTATAGCCATCAATTTCCATTGAACTCCATACTTCAGCTAATACATTTCCTGCAAATTCGAAATTAGATCTTTCTAAATGTTCATCAATTGTAACGCCACGCTCATCCAAATGAGACCCAAAATGGTCATGAGGCAATATTAAACCAGCCATTTCCCGACTAAGAGGAGCTATTTTGCGCTCTACTCTGTTATACGCACTTCTTCCAGGAGCATTGGTAGCTAAAAACAATGCATCGAGATCATGTCGCTTAAAGTGTTGTATAGCAAACCCTATGACTTTTTGATAACGTGGATTTTCATCTGGCCCTCCATCACCCGTCATGATTACAACTGGCTTTACTAGTCCATGGTCAGTTTTAGCTAATGGTCGAAACTCTTCAAGTTCGAGAAGCGTCTCGAAATCCTGAGCATGAGTATTCTCAGTAGATGAACTATGCTTTCCACTTCGAATAGCGATGTATGTTGGTCCAGAATATCCAACGGCTTGCGGTTGTCCTAGCATATTGGAAGTGATTTTGATACCAGCATAAACAGATGGTATTAATTTATGACGCTCAGCGATTACCCAATCGTGATCAGGCAATTTGATTCTATATTCCATGTGCATTAGAAGAGGTGCTTGCTTATTTGCCGCAGTTACGCCAATAGGGAGTCGAGCTTTATCATCTTGAGATATGAAAAATACTTGATCTGGTCCAAGTATGGATGCTAGGTTTTCTAAATAATGGATTGATGTTTCAGCGAACTTGCTATCTAAGTGGCTCTTGTGGTGATCAGTTTGAGCCCGAATGAGCTTAACAGGGACTGTCGATACATGTCTTCGTCCCTCTGCAGAATTAGATTTTCTGGGAATCAAACGAAGATATGTCCCACTGCGACTAATGTCAAATCCTGTTTTACGTATGATTCATTACCGGGTTTCATTTTATCTTCTTCCTCTTTTTTAATATTTGAAGCTGACTGTATAATTTGTGTTTTTTCTGCAGGTTTACAGGTTGCCTAAAAATAAAAACTTTCTATGGCTTCTGCTAAAGATTCTCTTATTAAGCTACATAAATACAAAGTATGGCAATATATATATATATAGTCAGCGCATATCTTGACGGTCTGCGGTACGCCTCGGTGGACCAGTTGGCCTTTTTCGTGTTCGTCTACCTTCTTCTATCCACACACGACACACAAGCATTATTACCATCATTCTACCCCTGTCAAAGTTGCTAACATGGTGATAATTTGGACGTCTACGAACTCGAGGCATTTTGTTATGCTTAACACTAGTAAATGAAAGGGCAATAATTGAAAATATCTGTACTACTCAGCCGTCAGAAACTGCTTTCATCACAAAAACTAAGAGATGACGTTTTAACAAAGGCAAACAAAAACAAAGATAAAACGTTGACATTGTTGCCACAGTATGCTTTAAATATAGTCATTATGTTGCAAAAAAACAAGCTGACGAAATTATTTTTTCTGGGTGTAACACTTCCAATGTCACTGAGTATATTTCAGAATTTTCATGTTGAGGATCCTTCTTTTTATTTTAATACCTTATCGTTCCTTAAACGCCACTGGTTTGCAATATTGGTATTTATTCCCAAAAAAGACCCACTTCCGAATATTACTTTGAGATGCGCGCAAGATGGCAACATTTATTCCTTCTTGAAATCCACAATAAAACACCGTGACACAATTATTTGTATCACAGTGTATTTAATTGTGTCAACTTTTGTTTTTATTGTGTAGACAGTGGAGTAACACTTTCATTTTCTATTAACCTTTGTGGCACAATGTGTTTAATCATAGATTGGAGTAAGAACTGTTGGAAGAATGGTATAAAATCCGAAGTATTATTCCCGCAATTTCCGAGGGTTTTTCACAAGTAAAGGAAGAGCTGGCTAGCTGGGGCCAGTAAGGAACCCCCACCGTCTATAAAAGGAGACCAAACAGATCTCCACCATCTGAGGTAAGGCATTAGCCATTTTTACTTCTTACTTATTTCAGTCGGTCTGACTGTCGGCTTTATAACCGCCTATAACTTGAGACCTCACGGATTTTGAAGAAATTTTCACACAAGGTTACTACTATGCCAAGGATGAAAACGCTTTGAAAATCGGGCCAGTGATGGCGGTCCTACGGGACACAAAACGAAGAAGATAGAAATCACCCAAACTTCATTTTTGGACGTTTCGGACGCTCCTGATCATTTTCATAAACATTTTTGTAAGGATTAAAATCTGGATGTTGGGGGTTGTAGGGCAGTGTATATCTCAATTTTTTGATGTTACTATATTTATACGCTCCAAACACCGGTAATTCTACGCACTTATTAGACATATTGGGCACAACATATACTAAGTGACATATAAATCCGAACACCCAGTTTAAATGGTTTTATTTTAATAAAAGTTGGTGAATGTATTTATCTTACTGTAAATAACAAGTGAACAAATTTTCAGGCTTATCAGTTGGACATTCCGGTTTTTATACTGCTTTTTTTTAATTCACTAACGCTCTAAAAATGAATATTTCAGCCGCAGTAAAGAACCAACGTTGGCGGATTTTGGTTCTTGACATCCTTTACGATCGGTTACGATGCCTAGAGTACGGACACCTGTACGATTTCGTCAACTTAGTGAGTTTGATAGGGGCCGTATAGTGGGACTTCGGGAAGCTGGACTTTCTTTTCGGGCAATTGCAGTTAGAGTGCAAAGAAGTGTACACACTGTGGTTAGGTGTTGTCAGGCATGGCTTCGAGAAGGCCGTACGCAAAGAGCAAGGGGCACTGGACGCCGCCGTAGAACAGCAGACCGTGAATATCGCCGCCTAAGATTATTGGCCTTAAGGGACCGTTTCTCCACTACCAGGTCCATTGCAAATGAATGGTTTGCAGAACACGGAAGACCTATTGGCATGCGAAGTGTTTACCGATGAATGAGAAGTTTTGGTTTGTTTTCATACCGGCCACACTGGGTCCTCCCTTTAACTCGAGGACACCGACGTAATCGCCTTGAGTGGTGCAGACAACGGTCACTCTGGGATCAGGAATGGTACAGTATTGTCTTTAGTGACGAATCTCGATTTTGTTTAGGCATGCACGATGGTCGTGCCAGGGTTAGAAGGCGACGTGGTGAAAGGAGGAATCCACAGTTTTTTGTTGAAAGACATGTTCATCACACTGTTGGAGTTATGGTTTGAGGTGCTATAGCTTATGGTTCCAGGTCACCTTTAATCTTCATCAGAGGTAACATGAACGCGCAGTGTTATATCCACGAAGTTCTAGAACCCCATCTTTTACCCTATCTTGACACCCTGGCAGATCCAACTTTCCAACAAGATAATGCCCGACCACATGTTGCAAGAGTCACAATAGACTTCTTTCAACATAATGATGTTACATTGTTACCATGGCCACCAAGATCTCCCGACTTATCCCCAATTCAGCACGTGTGGGATATGATGGGTAGGAAATTGCTCAATTTGCAACGTCCTTCTCAGACTCTAGAAGCACTTCTAGAGGAGTTGGTGGTTGCCTGGAATGAGATACCACAGGAGGACATTGACCACCTGATCAGAAGCATGCCTAGGCGCGTTGGAGAATGCGTAGCACATCAGGGTGCATCCACACATTATTAAAGGTCAAAGGGCTTTAAAGCAGTGCAATCATTTTGAAATTTTTATCATTTACTTATTATGCTTCATTAAGTACTTATACAAAATTTTATTAAAATAAAACCATTTAAACTGGGTGTTCGGATTTATATGTCACTTAGTATATATTCCGCGCATCGGCTTCGATTTTCTGGGTACACCGGGAGGCGTGCGGTGCGGGTATTACGTAAAAAACCTATAAAACGTCAAAAAATCCTACATAATGTCATCTTGCAGACTAGGTAGTTTTTAGGGTGCAAACTGTCATTCCACGTTTGCTCACTAGGATCGTTGTGAGCGCGATCCAAAGCGTTAATCTACGGAAGAATGGATGATTGTATTGGTTTGCATATGTATAAAATCTGTGATATTTGCTATGTGAGGAAATTATTACTGACTATGCTGCCAATGAAGTACATCTATTAGCTGTGCCAGAAGGGTTATTTGTGTTGTTCTTCCTGAAGAGAGGTTATGTTCAAAGTTATACATTACAATTTTTTCCGTTTTTTTTCTTTGAGATGAATTACAAAAAATCACCACCGCGCCCACGTTGTGTAATTACTGTTAACATGTATATGACTTGTAATTTGACAATGTACAGTGAATATAATTATTTCATATCTCTCTCATTTTTGAAATTCAGCAAATTTGCATATGTAATTTCCAGAATGGATAAGAAAAAGTGGATACGCAACTAATTTCTAGCCTTGAATCTCAAGTAAGTATATTTGAGACAAGAATCCAACGGCATTATCATCAACACACATTATCAGCACACAAATCCTCACTATGCATCAGCTTAGACATCCAGTAATGCCATCTTTGAAGCAAATTTTACATCACATCATAGCCCAACATTGATAACTGAAGCCTCATGACGTTTAGGCAACACGTACAACTACAAAACCAGTTCACAAAGTATCCATCAGCTAGTGCCAAGTTAACATCTTGTAGAAAAATCTACATAATTTAAAAAAAAAATTGGTATAAGGTCACTTTTTAAGATACGTCGGTCTTGATAAGTGTACTGCCCTTACTGGCATGGTGCCGCGTCTAACGCGTGTTGTGATCTGGTACGAGGGATAGGCGTCGTTGCCAGATGGACGGTACTAACGGTAGGGCTGGGAAATGATGTCCATGGACTAATTGTATGGGCCTGTTTGATTGACTTGATCCGTTTAATTTCTCTGTTATACATATTCTTTTTTTTCCTCAGAGGGTATAATTTGAGCTGAACATAATGATGTTGTTGCGTGGGAAGTGCAGATTTAATCCATTTGACGCCATTTATATTAGCTCGTCGTCGACGCAACGCCTCCCCTAATCTGCAAAACATCGTTGTTATTTTTACGGGTCTGTCTGTTTTGCCAGAGACTGAAATTTTCCTTAAATTCTTCGTTATATTAAATAAAAGTTTCCCCAAAAATCACCACCACTGGTTCTCCAATGATAGCTTTTCTATTAATCTGCGCTGAATCTGCATAATATGTAAAGACTAAATCGCTTGTCGTTAGAACAGGTAGTGTGTAATTAAAACGCATTTTCTGAAATTACCGCATTAAGTTCTGCCTCATTTGCATCTAAATGGACCTGGAACCTGCCGGTTCTCGGTTCTAATGTTCACCATCAGTAATTTCACAATTTCCACTTTTTCATGTTCTAGTCTCGGTAACGACGATGTACAGCTTCCTGTCTTGTTATTTTCTCTATCAATAATCAATTACTCGTACTTATCATAAGTATTCAGTGCTCGGACCTTAACTGAATCAAACTACACTTTCAAGCAAACAACGGCGTCAAGTAAGTTGACTATACTTCTCAGGCAATTCTGAATAAATGGCGGATACTTGAGTTCGAGTGACTTTTTTCACAATTTTGAATTAACGATGATATTGCAGATTGACTCTATACTTTCGTTGCTGGTTTCAAAGAAAGGGGATGAGCCAAATAGTTTCAAAACGCAGAATCGAATCGTGACTAGGGTTTACTTAGGTACGATAAGTCTTCGACAGCGGCATATTAAACTATACAGGGTGTTTCAGTTTATTGTTGCATAACTTTAAGATTCGATAGAACTTTTAAAATTAATGCATAAAGTCTGTATAAACATGGGTCGAAAAATGCGTGGCTTCCGAAATACAGGGTGTTTAAATTTACTTTTTAAAATAGTTTTTTTTTTAAATATTTCGAATAATATTCGATGTATAACAGTGAAAATTGGTATACAAGGGTTTTTTGCTACGACACAACGAACCATGGGCATAGTTTTACTGTAGCTGCTAGAAGGCGCTCTCTACTGTACCTGTAGTGTATTAAAATGACCGAAAAATTTTTTTTAGTGCAATTTTTTACTTTTTGAATAAAAAAACTGATTCTTCGCAATTTTCAATATAAAAAAGCTCTCTTGTGAATTTTCGTTATAGTTAGCCGTTTTTGAGATATTTCGATATTTAAGGTTCGATGCATTTTTAATTATTTATGATAAAATAACGTTAAAAAATCAGTATCTCGATAATTTTTAGAAGTAGGCTGTGCCTGCAAATATTTTTGAAATTGAAAGCAGAATAAGGTTAAACGTCAATTAGTTGACAGTTAGTTTTGTTGTCTGTTGAAACCTGAAACGTTTTTTTGCAATTGTGAATGCACGAAATTTAGTTTCTTTTACCTGTTTTTTTTTTGTAAGTTTTATAAAAATGCCATTTTTATTCTCCAATCAAGAGTTAGCGGATATTCATTTTGTGTATGGCTTTGTAAATAGAAACGTAGCAGAAGCAGCCAGAGAATACGCACGAAGATTTTCAAACAGACGACATCCAACTCGCTCAGTATTTGTAAGAGTGCATCACCAAATAATTGATAGAGATCCGACCACAAGTGTTAGGAGAGTTTCTGGTGCCTTGGGAATTTCAGCAAGCCATGTTCACCGTGTTCTTAGAAATGACCATAGACGTCCTTGCCATTTGCAACCTGTGCAAGGACTACAGCCAGAGGACGGAGAACGAACAATCACATTTTGTCAGTGGATTCTTGATAGAACTGATAATAATAGGGAGTTTTTAATTAACGTTTTATGGACCGATGGGTCATGCTTCACTAGACGTGGAGTGGTAAATTTTCATAATCAACATATTTGGTCGCATGAAAATCCGCATGCAGTTCGGGAAAGAAATTTTCAGCATGAATTTAGTGTGAACATGTGGATTGGTATCTACCGTAATCGACTATTCTATCTTTTGCAAGGTTAAATGCTGCGACCTTCTTGGAATTTTTAAAGGCTGAACATGCAAATATGTGGGATGATGTTATGTTATATTTAAGAAGATTGGCCTGGTTCCAGCGTGATAGTTGTCCAGCTCATTATTCGAGAATAGTTAGAAACTGGCTGGACGAAAATTATCCAGAAAGATGGATCGGCCGTGGAGGACCAGTCGCCTGGCCTCCACGATCCCCTGACCTAACTCCATTAGATTTCTTTGTGTGGGGATTTCTAAAAGAAAAAGTGTACCAGACTCCCGTAACCACAAGAGATATGCTAATAGACAGAATCAGAAATGCATGTGATGAAATAAGGCCTTATTTGAATAATGCTATACCACGTTCGATCATTCGTGGATGTGAATTGTGCATTGAACAATTGGGTTTACATTTCGAAATATCTCAAAAACGGCTAACTATAACGAAAATTCACAGGAGAGCTTTCTTATGCAGAAAAGTGCGAAGAATCAGTTTTTTTATTCAAAAAGCAAAAAATTGCACTAAGAAAAATTTTTCGGTCATTTTAATACACTACAGGTACAGTAGAGAGCGCCCTCTAGCGGCTACAGTAAAACTATGCCCATGGTTCGTTTTGTCGTACCAAAAAACCCTTGTATACCAATTTTCACTCTTATACATCAAATATTGTTCGAAATATTTTAAAAAAACTATTTTAAAAAGTAAATTTAAACACCCTGTATTTCGGAAGCCACGCATTTTTCGACCCATGTTTATATAGACTTTATGCATTAATTTTAAAAGTTCTATCGAATCTTGAAGTTATGCAACAATAAACTGAAACACAGATTTACCTCATACAGCTTCCAACCTACAATGTTCACCCTCTCCGAAAAATGTCTGAAAATGAGCAGGAATCTCTGAAACGTTGTACAACTATGTTCCAACGATTTTATTTCCGCAGCCTCTGAATCAATTTTAATAATCTACGACTACCTAAACTTTGGAAGTATTAAACTCGCGATAACATTCGACCTTCGATTCACAAGTTTTCTGTTGCTTAAAGAAATCTGCATTGCAGCCGGCAGTGATCTCCATGGCGATGCAGCATCGCGCCATGCACGCAACGTCAACGATTGCAAAGTTATTTCAAATTTCGAACACATTATACATCGGACTTTTATCATTTAATTTTCCTGTTGTTACCGGGATCAGACTTGTTGATCATAGAACGTCTTTCACTAAAGAAATTTACAACCCTCTGCTCCCTAGAACCCCCACCCCCCACGTTTCAACCCTTACAAAAAAAATTCCAAAAATAATCAGTAGTCTCTGAAACTACAAAAAACGAAGTTAAACGATTTTTATTTTTCGTTTGTCATGGTTGTTCGTGATGTACATGTCATATATTTATAACATCCAAAAACATATCTGAATTTCGCGATTACAATACTTCCTCTCCAGTTTTGGCGTAGGAAATTAAAACATGCTTATTATTGTCTGACATATACGCTCTGAAAAGGAAAGTCCCAACTTAGAGGATACCCTGTATAGTGATTTTTATCCCTTTTAATATATATACTAAGTGACATATAAATCCGAACACCCAGTTTAAATGGTTTTATGTTAATAAAATTTTGTATAAGTACTTAATGAAGCATTATAAGTAAATGATAAAAATTTCAAAATGATTGCACTGCTTTAAAGCCCTTTGACCTTTAATAATGTGTGGATGCACCCTGATGTGCTACGCATTCTCCAACGCGCCTAGGTATGCTTCTGATCAGGTGGTCAATGTCCTCCTGTGGTATCTCATTCCAGGCAACCACCAACTCCTCTCGAAGTGCTTCTAGAGTCTGAGGAGGACGTTGCAAATTGAGCAATCTCCTACCCATCATATCCCACACGTGCTCAATTGGGGATAAGTCGGGAGATCTTGGTGGCCATGGTAACAATGTGACATCATTATGTTGAAAGAAGTCTATTGTGACTCTTGCAACATGTGGTCGGGCATTATCTTGTTGGAAAGTTGGATCTGCCAGGGTGTCAAGATAGGGTAAAAGATGGGGTTCTAGAACTTCGTGGATATAACGCTGCGCGTTCATGTGACCTCTGATGAAGGTTAAAGGTGACCTGGAACCATAAGCTATAGCACCCCAAACCATAACTCTAACAGTGTGATGAACATGTCTTTCAACAAAAAACTGTGGATCCCTCCTTTCACCACGTCGCCTTCTAACCCTGGCACGACCATCGTGCATGCCTAAACAAAATCGAGACTCGTCACTAAAGATAATACTGTTCCATTCCTGATCCCAGAGTGACCGTTGTCTGCACCACTCAAGGCGATTACGTCGGTGTTCTCGAGTTAAAGGGAGGACCCAGTGTGGCCGGTATGAAAACAAGCCAAAACTTCTCATTCGTCGGTAAACACTTCGCATGCCAATAGGTCTTCCGTGTTCTGCAAACCATTCATTTGCAATGGACCTGGTAGTGGAGAAACGGTCCCTTAAGGCCAATAATTTTAGGCGGCGATCTTCACGGTCTGTTGTTCTACGGCGGCGTCCAGTGCCCCTTGCTCTTTGCGTACGGCCTTCTCGAAGCCATGCCTGACAACACCTAACCACAGTGTCTACACTTCTTTGTACTCTAACTGCAATTGCCCGAAAAGAAAGTCCAGCTTCCCGAAGTCCCACTATACGGCCCCTATCAAACTCACTAAGTTGACGAAATCGTACAGGTCTCCGTACTCTAGGCATCGTAACCGATCGTAAAGGATGTCAAGAACCAAAATCCGCCAACGTTGATTCTTTACTGCGGCTGAAATATTCATTTTTGGAGCGTTAGTGAATTAAAAAAAAAAAAAAACAGTATAAAAACCGGAATATCCAACTGATAAGGCTGAAAATTTTCACTTGTTATTTACAGTAAGATAAATACATTCACCAACTTTTATTAAAATAAAACCATTTAAACTGGGTGTTCGGATTTATATGTCACTTAGTATACAAGGACTGTCGCCAAGTAGACAGGGCTTTTGAAAGATAGCCGATACAAGTAGCGCCATCTATTATCGGAGACTAGCGTTGGATAGGTATATATTTCATTGATGCCCTATCAAAATTTCATGGCAATCGAACCACTTCACGCGAAATTATCCCTCTCATAGTGACAGAGTGGGTACCATTTTAGCATCGGTCGAAAAATGAGCATCGAACAAAGAGCCAAAATTAAGTTCTGCGTTAAACTTGGTAAAACATTTAC